TGCTTTTATATATAAATCAAGGTGATGATGCATCGTATTGCAAATGATAATCTTTTTTTTTCCTTCATCGCGTATTGAAATGATAAAATGATAATCTTTTTTTTTTCTTCATCGCGTATTGCAAAATTATACTATTTTTAATGTACTGATATTATTAGATTAATCTATAAATAAACTATTATTATTGATATTTTTAACGCTTTAGAAGGGCCCCCTTGATTGTGATGATTAGAACCTCGTCGTGATAATTGATGTGATATCTACTAAAATATCGATAGATATTCAGTACCGATCCTTAAAATTAACCTGTGTAAAACTTACCAGCAAATGTTTTGCGTACTTTCTAGCTGGAATTCAGATGCTGCTCTACTAATTGAGATTAAAAATCTTCAATATAGTCAAGAATGCGTAGCGTGTTGTAATCGCGTCAAAAGTTCTACTTTCCGCGGATTCTCCAAAGAAAAGTGACATGTTTGAGAGAAGTATAAACGCGCAATTATAGCATTCAAAGACGTGTACGGATCCTTATGAATACATCTTGATCATTATTTATGCCCGAAGAGAATATAAGCGAAACTCCTAAGAGAATTCGAAGAGGCAGAGCTTGTGAATGATCATGTTATTGAAGAATATATTTAAAAGAGCATTTCAACTTATTAGGAAATGTATATAGAATTTAATTCCATTTGTTGCTCTTTTGTAGTTCAATTGTAATTAGGTGCATTATGTGAAATAATTTCTGTAAATATTAATTTACATTTTATATTAACAAGGTTTTTGACAGGAATGGTTGACCAGAAACTATGGATAAATACGAAAATAAAGCTATAGAAATAAGAAGTACATGCATTTATATTCAATATATTTATCGTATTATCATTTCCAATTGACCTTTGATTTTTTATTTTTACAGGGAAAACAGTAGAATGTGGGCGTGCTTATTTTGAACAGATAGATAAAATTTATGTACCTTGTATGATTGACGACGACTCTAAAGCAGATGTTAGAATATCGGTATGATATTTATTTTCTATATTAGTTAATCATATTGGAAATATTCATATAAATAAAATAATATTTCCATTATCACTTTATTAACATTATCTTACTTTATCATACTTTGTCATATCTGTTATGAAAAGATTTGCAACAGGATTTTAGAGAACCGTTTAAACATGTGAACATGCCGTTCTTTGATGCTTGCTTGACTTTCAAATTATGAAGCCATGCACGATTCCTTACTTTGAACGTTCTTTTGATAATGATACTCTTGAAAGAGGATGACATTGAAACCTGGTTCGTTTATTTAAGTCTTTATTCACTGAAATTACCACTAAAAAGCGGGAAATCTTGAACTCTTACAAAATTGATAAAGGATTTAAAAAAACTGCTACTGAGGATAATCGCCGTGACGTTTTTGAACTTATCAAGATTGAAAAGTTATTATTAGAAATTAGATATTTAGAAAATGATGGTGATACTACTAAAGTCAGTTCCGGGAGATCAGAAGTTTGAATAATCATCTGTTGTGCATTTAATGATGAACCTTAAGGTTCCAACAGAGGCAAATTAAATACAGATACTTATAATGCCTCCTGAAGGAAATGCTCATATGAAGGATAAGGTTCCTTTTTTTTTTTTTTTTTTTTTTTTTTTTGAAAAAATATCAAGAATTTATATCCTGTAGATCCATTAAGTGTTTTTTTTCATAAAAAGTTTCTCTCTATGTCATATTCATAAATGTTAATTATGAAGGTTATTTGCTTAAAAATTTACTCGTCAAGCCTCGAAGATTGTCTGTATTATCATATGCAAGTAGCTTTTATTTAAGGTGATGCTTGATGTTTCAATAGATACTGTATATTGATGTCATTTGATTTAAGAAAAAATTGAGTGGGGATGTTGGATGATGCTGCAAGTTACCGGTTGGAAATTATTATAAGTTAGAAGAAAAACGGTGAGCAATTTCAGGATAGTTCTCCTGAAACTTTTCGAATTTAAGAAATGTTATACACCTATGTATGTTATGTATTTAATTTATTTTTCTATAATTCTTACTTAACTTACTAAACTTTATAGAGGATCGTATTGAGTTGTGGCAGATACATAATCCAACCTGCGGTGTTTTTTAGTATTTTGTCCTCCATTTGGATCTTATGTGTTAAGTTTGACTGATAATTTGTTCCGCGATCTTTATGATACACAGATATACATTATTTTAAAGCATTCAATGTTTCAATAAAAAATTAAATTTAAGAAGTTAAGGTTATTTAATCTTTAACATTACTTTGATGATTTTATTCATTTTTAAAACATGATAAGATTTGTCAAAAATGATGCCCATGTAAAAATACTATTCGAATTGTGACAAAAATTCACCGGGCAGCTTAAAATAGAAATGATCATCCAAAAGTTCAAATTACCTTTTAATAGCCATAATAAGTCATCAAAATTTTTAGTTTAAAATTATTTTTGTTGATTAAGTAATACTTGCAGTTCATTATTAAAAGCCAATTTTATTAAGAAAAAGAGACGATATCCTAAAATTTTAAATAATTATGTTCTATGACAATCAATATAATTTAAAACTGAAAAATATTAATGTTTAATTATAACTGAAAGATTGCGATCAAATTATATCGTTATCAATTGGTAAGTTGTAAATCGATTATTAGCTTTAATTCTTTCATATTCGTTTCTTTAATATGCTCTTTAAAATAGATTTGATTCCTTTTATTTTTAACTTAAAACTTTGCAAGAGTTAAGCTTCTAAAGCTTTTAGATTCTCTAAGCCTAATTTACAACTTTAACCAAAGGTGAGATTTTTTATATAATCCTATTTTACTGTTACTAATCATTTGCTAATTTATAAAATAATAAAATAAACCATAAAAAATATAACAATTACTGTATATAAGTAAAAATGTATTTGTAACATCCTGTTACATGTCTTATTTGTAACACCTTTTTTTATTTTTCTTAATAATAAATTATTTTAAATATTTTATAAACAAGATTTTTAAAAATTTAATTTAGAAAACTTTTACTTAATATTTTCATAGACAAAATTTTCAGTTTTAAAAAAATTCTTATTTCATTATATAACTGACTTTTTGTTTTAATTTGCTAAATTATTAATGTTACGATTTGTTTCACAATAAGCCATCCAATAAAATTATCAAACTTAAAAATGAAATAAAAAATCTTCTAGTGTATATATTTAAAATATCTTAACGTAGATCGATAGATATTGACTAGTGCTATAAAGTGATGTTGAGATCATTTCGATTGATAACGTATATCAAAAGTTATTAACTGATAAAGTTTAGGTATTTTCTTAAATTGAAATGAAATTTGAAACATATAATCTCAGCCTAAATTAAATTTGAAATATATATCCTGACCAAATTTATGAAATGTTATAAAAAAGGGTCAATAGGTTTATAAGCTATATATTTTATAAAAAATATAAATTACACAGAACTGTTTTAGATTTTAGTTTTAAAAATATTGATAAATTGATAAAATAAAGTTTATTCTCAGTTTAAACTTTAATCAGATATTAAATTTGTTAGATTATATCATCATGTTATTTATGTTTTAGCTAATCATAAATCGGTATTATATTTATCACATGATTATATAAATTTTAAAATTTGAAACATATAATAAATATTTGATGGCTTTTTATGAAACACACTATACAAATAATCTTAAATTTTGATTGGATAAATTGTAGGTGTTATAAATAAGACACGTAATATAATGTTATATAAAATTTAAAAAAAAATGTATTATCACTGATATTCAGTAACAGTGTCATGTGTAAAGATGGCACCTCAATTAGTTGCAACAGGTGACAAATAGGCATCACAATGTTGCAACAAATTGCAACATTATTAAAATTTAAGTTGCAATAGGTGACAAATAAGCGTCACAATGTTGCAACACCATCTTTAGTCATGTGATTTCTACTTAAATAAATTGTTATTTCGCATCACTTAATTTTGACCAAAATTTATAATGCTGATTAATATGCTTTTTTAGAATACTAGATTAATTTAAAAAGGCAAATTTAATTTTGACAAAAATCTAAATAAAGGTCTCGTTCAATTTTTGCAGTATTATATTTATATAATACTAATATTCTAATGTAGTAAAACTTGAAAGCATAGTAATTTATTTTTTAAATTTTACCTAATAATAAATTTTTCAGTCTTGTGATTTATGCAAAATGTTCGCATTTTAGCAAAATTTCATATTATATATACTATAAACAAAGAAAATAGTCAAAATATTAATTATCAAATTATAAAATATTTAATTTAATCATATTTTGTAGTAAAATAACTAAGCCAGAAAACTAAAGAAAAATTTGTTTCTGATATAATAAATATTAAAACAATTATACAAAGATAAAATAACCTTCTTAATTTTTAAAATAATATTTTAACCTTTAAATCATTTGATACTTGATGATAAAATCTTATTTAATTATTAATTACAAAGAAATAGTTTGTAATTATTTATCAATCAAACTTTTAATAACTTTTTTCATTATCATTCTGATTATATAAAAATAAAATAAATCTTATTTTGTTAATATTAAATTTTTTTTTTTTGAAATTTAATATAAATCTTTTTTTATTTCAATTATCCTTAGAAATTTTAGATTCAAATGAGTTTTATAAAATTAATAATAATTCTTATTATAATAAATTGTTAATTTCACTTATTATTTTAAATTGCATAAAAAAAAATCTTTAGTTATTTATAAATAAATTAAATTAAGTTATTAGTACTAATCAGTTTTAGTTAAATATAATAAGATGTAATTTTACAAAATTTTAAGAATGAAATATCAACTTTTTGGAAAATTATTAATAAAATTTGTGATAATAAAATTTTTCAAAAAAAAATACATCTATTAAAAAATAATAAGTAATGGTTCTATATCGATTTATTCTTATTTATATTTAAAGTCTATTTCTGCTTTATTTTTATAATTATCTGAATTAGAACTATTAGTTTTATTATTTTCTATAAGTATTTTATATAAATAACTAATATTATGTTTATTTAAATTAAAATAGAAGTCAAAAAATTTACAATTACTGTTTGTATTATTACTTTTTATATTATACTATTTATTATTATTATTTATATCTTTTTCTAACTTTTCTGATTCTTTTGTTAAAATTTTAAAAAGAGTAATAAAGAAAAATTATTTTTAACCTCTGATATTTGTAATTAATTGCTTTTTAAAAATTGTAAAAATATGATAAAATAAAATATTTTAGCATTTAAATTAAATTTACTTGTATATGATAATTTTTCATATTTAATATTAGGTATTTATTAATATTTTTTATATATAATAATTTATTTTCAAAAATTTTTAAAAGAAAAAAAAAATCAAATACAATTTAATAATTGAATTTTATTTTTTTAGATTATAATTTATTTTTATTTTTATTATTTAAAAAAAAAATTATAAAAAATAAGAGTAAACTTTTTTATTATATGTATAATACATTATTTTTTAGGTAAAATTATGTAATATTAGCAAAATTTAAACATGTAATATTTAATGCAAGGTATAAAAAATATATTTTTCAACAAAAAAAATTTAAGTTTTCAAAATATATATAAAAAATGAAAAGAAAGGTGTAATATAGGTAATAAAAAAAAGTTAATGTATTATACCTATGTAATATTTAATTATTTCAAATAATAAAATGATTTTAATATTTTTTAATTGTAAAATTTTATTAATATATTAATTTAAATGCAGAATATTTACACGTATTTACTAATATTATTATATAATATAATATTGTTGATTTTAAACAAAATTACATCTTTAAAAAAGTTTATTATATAAAACTATATAATACTTATTAAAATAAATAAATAAATAAATAGTAATAATAATTTTATTAAATTTTCTCTCTATCTAAAATATAAAATTTGTATTTAGAATTATTTTTCATTTTAAAAAATCTGACATAATAAATTATACTTATAATTTAAATAAATTAAAACTACTAAATATAACTATCTATAGTTATCATATTATAAATCATTAATTTTATAAATATTTAAGCTGATTTATTATATTTATGTAAAATAAAATATTCTACTTCACTATATATTTCTTCTTATATAAGATTTATACTTATATTTATATAATAAGTATTTTATAACTATAATATTGATCTAAAATAAAATAAATTAAGTAATTTATTATTTTTTAATAAATTTAATCAAATTAATAAATAAAATTTAATACTTATAAATACAGAATTATTGTTTTTACTTTTTATTTTATTTTTTAATATCTATTTAAAACTTATAATATAACTATCTTTTTATATTTTATCATTTTAAAGAAATATTTTAAATTAATTCAAAAAATAAATTAGATATAAATTTTTTAATTAATTACAATCTTTTATTATAATTAAAATTGCTTGTCTAAACTTATTTTAAATTTAGCAAAATACCTAAATTATAATTTTGCTAATTTTTTACTAAAGTTTTGATATAGTTTTATATTTTTATAAGCTTTTGATATAGTTTTACTTTTTTTAAATTTTGCAGATTTTTTAATAAAATTTTAATAAAATTTTATTAAATTTTACCTTTTTCCATTTAAATAATTTGCAAAACCTTTAAGTTTTGTCTAGTAATCTTACTCTGATGTAAAAAATCAGCTGATCTTATACTAAATAGAAAATAATAAGAATAATAGTCCTAAAAAATCTTTATAAAAGAAGAATTAATAACTATTTTAATGCTAGATTGTTTATTTTAGTATTTACAAATTAAAAAAATTATTAAAAAATTATTAGTTAGTTTATTAGTTTTTAGATTTATAATAAATTAATCCTTAGCTAATTTGTAATATAATTTATAGAATTCTATAACAATATTTAAGAATTTTAGTCTTTATTATAGTAAATTTTATAATCACTTATAATTTACTTAGATTTGTCTTATATCAAAAATAGTCTTCTTATATTTTTTAAGATATATAGGAAGCAATCAATAGATAAGAGAAAAATCATAATTTTAGTTATTAAGCAAGTTTTATTCACATAATCATAATCAGAAGAATGAATCAATAAAAAATTTTTGACTAAGAAATAGATTTTCCTTTTTTTACTGACCACCATTAATATTCTTTAAGATTTTTTACTTAATATAATTTTAGAATATATTTTATAATTCTATATAAATTTATCATCTTTTGATTTTTCATAGAAGATCTTAATCTTAACTATATTAAATAGAATCTTTTGATTGAAAATAGACTTAGTTTTAATTAATTGAATATGTATACCTATTATAAATATATTATTTATATATTACTTTTACAAATTTTTCTTTTTAATTAATTATTTATCTTTTTATCAAAAATAATTGAAGAATATTTTTATTAACTTTGGTAAAATCTGTGAAAAGCCTTACATGTATTTTAAAAAGTATTATTTCATTAAAAATTAAGTTATATATTTTATATAACGAATATAATAAGCTTATTAGTTTAATTTCTAAGTAGTATTAATTATATATTAGAAACTATTATGTAATCTAATATTATAGCAGGTTGAAAGATAAGGCCTTAAAAAATCAGAAATAATTAACAATTTTTGATTATGCTTTTTGGTAAAACTTTATAGATATATAAATTTTAGTAAGACTTTTTAATAAGACTTTATAGGCATATCAATTTTTGATAAGATTTTGATTTTAATATTTTTATATTAAAATACTTTATAAATGCCTTCTAATATATTAAATTTTAATATATTAAAAATAGATATAAATCTTTTTAAATTTTTGTTAATATATAAAATTATCATAAATCAGATAAGTTAATTTTTAGTAAAACTTTTTGACCTTATAAATTTATTAATAAATTATCTTTAAAACTAATCACAAAATAATAGTATACAATTTAATCTTGAATAAATTATATCATCAAATATAATTTTACTTTGTTTTATTATATTTGATGATACTTCTAATAATAAGCAGTATAACATAAAATTTTTAATATATTAGAAGGGATTAAATTTAGACTAGAAAGACTATAATAATTCTTAATATTTAGCAGAGTAGTTTTATCCTATAAGAAATTTGTATATAAAATTATATACAAAAATAATATGTTTTTTATATTTGTAAATAACATATAATATATACATAATTATTACATATAAAAGATAAGAAAATAAACAGAATTACAGATATATAAAAATACGTAAATTAAGTATATTGTATATATAATTCTTATATGTAATTTACATAATATTATATATATTTTATCAGTATATTTTATACATAATTTATATATGTAATTTTTATATAATTTATATATAATTTTATATAATTAATTTCTTATAATATTACTAAATTTATAATTTATTAATATATAATTTAAAATTGCTTTAATTTAAATTTATTTATTTATTAAATAAAATATAATGACGATAATAAAATATAAATATTTTATAATAATAAAAATACTATTTAACATAACGATAATATAAAATATAAAAAAGAAATATAATAAGTAATATTTAAAATATTAATTAATAATATATAAATAAAGTAATAATAATAATATTAGTAATAATATTTAAAAAAAAATATAAAAAGAAAATTAGTAATATTAGTAATATATAAAATATTAAAAAGAAAGTTAGTAATATTAGTAATATATAAAATATTAAAAAAAAAAAGTAATATTAGTAATATATAAAAAAATTATTAATTATAGTTAGTAGATTATTAGTAATTAATAATATTAAATAGATAATATTTAAAGAAGTAAATATACTTGATAAAAAAAGAAAAAAAAGAAAAAAAAAGAATGAAAAAAGAGAAAATGTAAAAAAAATAAAAAAAATAAAAAAAATATTTTTTTTTTTTAAGTGTAGTAGTTTTGCATAATCTTTATTAAATTTAAAGTATATTAACAAAAGTAAAATATACAAAATTAAGAAAATATAAAAATCTCTATCTAGTCGAAACTAAATTAAGACTGACCTTGTATT